TCAAAACAATAGGATAAATTACTCAAGAAAAAATACAACGTTCGGGGATCAACTAACCCAATAAATTACAGTTGAGGAAGAAATACTTCCCAAATAATCAAAATAAGTTTGTTTCCTTCCACAAAGACAAGACTCTGAGTCCGGGGACAAGATCCAAACTCCAATCCCAAACTAAAAGAAGAACAACAAGCATCAAAATTACCAGTCCACTGTACCCAAGGGGACCTAGTCTGATGACAAAAGCCTAGACAACAAGAAACTGAAAAGAAAGAACTACAACACAGAAAGACTACAACTAACTACTAAGAACTCACACTAACAAATTCCTTCCACTCCCTGCAACCTAAGTCCACAGTTGCTTCTGCAGACCTTAGAACATTTTGAAAGACCCACAGATTGCTGGTCTTCCAAATCCACCAAAGAATATAAGTGGATAACTGCAATCTGGCTTCTGAAACAGGGTTATGAGGGATGGAACAAAGATGCATCCAACAGGACTTGAAGGAACCAGAGAAATCCGATAGGCCTTCCCAGAATACAGGAGAAAGTTTCCAGATTAGAGTGGCTTTGCTGCAACGAAAAAATAGATGCTCCTGGGTTTCCTTGCCTTCTCCACATATTTTACTAATGGTGTCAATTGGGAGTCTCCTTGCAGAAAGATTACACGTGACATGTAAGATGTTATTGAAGTTTTTCCACAAAAAATGTTTTAACTTTCCTTTGATTTGCATATGTCAGGTCCTCATCCTTGCAGCCTTGATTTCTAAATGGTGAGAGCTTGGTTCTGCAAGGTCCATCAGTCTCCATTTCTGATCCACCAGTTTGGCATAAGTTGAGGCCACAGAAAATTTCCCATTCTTACTCCATTCCCATCTTAACCTGTCATTCTTGCTAGGATCTAAACCAGATATACTCAGTGTAGCTTCACCTTCCTACTCTTGAAAATGCTCCTCAATGAGCTGTCTATTCCATCTTCTGCCTGAACTATCCATGAGGTCCTTGACCCAACACAATCTGAATTGAGGAGAATAATTACCAGAGAGTTTAAAGCCTGTGACGTTAATTAAATTGGTTTTACTAATATATGTTATATATATATATATATATATATATATATATATATATATATATATTAAATTGATGGTTCGTATCAATCGATCATCTGTTACAAACATATATTAGTTGTAAAGTCATCTTCTAGTCATCATTAGAATCCATCTTATCTCCTTGCATATGTCGCTCCTGCTAGTCGAGGTCGAATCGTATTGTCCTCTAGGTGGTTAGGTCGTCTGACACCTTTCAGTTAGGGTGTCTAGGCCGCTTATGGATTAGGTCATCCTTAGGCCTCAGATCGCTATCCTTTAAGTCGCCTTTATGGTTCCCAAGTCGCTTTATGTTGTCTTCCAGCTGTTGTGGGACTCCAAGTGGTCTTAATGATGAGGTCGTCATGTTCCCTCAACTGCTCTTCCTTCATGTTGACCTATTTAGGTAATCTTTTACTCCGATCGAGCTCCTTACACTTGTAATAATTCGGTCTACACATTTATGACTATATCATCTAGTTCCCCCCACCCACCCACCAAAAAAAAAATTACTCTAAACGACCTCGAGCTTAAGAGTAAAATTGACAGTCAAATTCCTCTGACAGGTCTGGCATTTGTCATAAATTCAAATTTGAAAGGACTCCTTGTCGCCTCGTGTCTTATTTCCTCGATGTCCGTGCATGATCTGAGCCGTTCGATTTGTCATAATCTAAGGGCCCAAATTCGTTAGGTCGAGTATATATACTTTTTCTGTTTTTATTTCAACACTTCCACTTCTTGTTACTTCTGAGCTCTAGAAACTTCTCAACTTTTTTGGCATTTTGCAACTCCGACGTCCTTTTCTGGTTCTTTATATTCTTCATGTCCGTCCTGGCAAAGGTTGGTTTTAATCTCTTTTTCTTTAAGTGATCATGTTTGCGTCAATTAACTTAAGCTATTGATATAGGTCGTATTTTAGGTTTTTCCCTTTAGGTAGTCTCACGCGTATCTTGACTTAATCGTGTCTTGCTTCTATAGTTATTAATGAACTGATCGCGACCCCTTGTTTTGGAATACACTAGATTCCTCCCATGACTCGATTAGTCGTATGATTGAAGGGGCCTCTGACTCTTCTGATTCCTCTGTCCAAATAAAAGGCCACGAGCTCGTCCAGGTTCAACCTGACCCTTCTAGAGGGTCGGGTAATGATTCCACACGGAAGTCGACTGGGATGAATATAATTGATCTCTAAGGTGGAACTTCCAAGAGGTTTCTCTTAGGTCTCCTCGTTTTGAATCCATTCCTGGAGGTATTCCTTTTAGAGTGTTAGATATTCATGTATATACATCTAGCCCTATTCTTGTATCAATAATTGCTCCCATTCCCCGCATAAACAATCATGTTCTAACAGTAGCATGTGCTGTAGCCAAGATAGCAACTCTAAATCCCGTTTGTTATGCTCCTGCAGCCGAGCTTGGAGGGTTTAGATTGTACTACGAGATGCCATCAGATTGGGACTTGACCGCCCCTGGGCCAAATGACGATTCTTTCATTCCTCCTAGAGGCTATTATACTTTTTTTGTCGACAAAGTACTCTTTGGACTTCGCTTTCCATTCAATACAAGCTGATGACCCTTAGAAATTTGTGCAATATTCCTATTAATCAATTCGCCCCTAAAGCAATTCTTATTATGGTCTCCTTCATCATGCTTTCTAAAATAAAGCTCCGCGAGTTCTCACCAGAATTTATTTTTCTTTTACTGTTACGGTTATAAATTCCGAAAGGGGACCCATTACTTAGGTCGTCATAGTAGAGCTACATTTTTGGACAATTTTTCCTCTGATTGATCGGAAAACGTGTGTATTTTATAAATTTATTAGTTTCTTTTTATATGCTTAATTTTATCGCACTTATATAATTTTTGACTTATTTATTGTTTAGACGAATTTGTTTCCTATGATGTTTTATATATTATTTTTCAGTATTTTGGAGTACTTTATGAATGCCATGGAAGTTCACATGATCAATTATCGGGCCTTCTCAATACGCGTCAATCTAACCCGCAATGAAAATCGAGGCCCATTAATTCCAGGCTGGCAGCATAAAAATAAAAATAAAAAAATTGGAGCCCAATTTGTCTCATGAATGGAGAATAAATTTGACCAATCAATTTTGATTGGTTAAAGAGTCCTACATGAAGATGATTTATTTGGAGAGGTGTGTTTAGGATTATTTGAGGGAGAACAAAAAAATATGGGAGAGCTATTATTTTGACGAGGAAAAAAAGATGCACAACAACAGAAAAGAGAGTGGCACAGGAAAAAGACGGACAGACGAGAGGAGCCCGATCAATCGCAGAGGGAGGCCGCACCCGCACACGAAAGGGGATAATTTTATTCTCTTTCTCTTTTTATTGATTATGTTAGAGTAATTTTTATTTCTAGTTCCATAGATGTCGAACCCTACGTACTTGACTTTGTTTAATTAATTACGGTGATTAATTATTTTGTTATTCTTATGAAATTGTTCGCTTATTTTGACTGAGCAACTATGATGTGTTTTATTTTAGGGTAAAGTCCACTTTTGGTCCTCCATGTTTAGGGGGTATCCAGACTGAGTCCCTATTATGTTTTGGTGCCCAATTTTAGTCCTTCAAACAAAAAACTGAGTCCCTGTTATGTTTTGGTGCCCAATTTTAGTCCTTAAAACAAAAAAAAAATGAGTCTTTATTATGTTTTGGTGTCCAATTTTAGTCCTTAAATCAAAAAAATGAGTCCCTATTATGTTTTGGTGCCCAATTTTAGTCCTTAAAACAAAAAAATGAGTCCCTATTATGTTTTGGTGCCCAATTTTAGTCCATAAAACAAAAAAATGTAGTCCCTTTACCTCAATTTCTGTGAATTAACGGTCCATTTTTGCTCGACTGTGATGTTCTTTATTTTTTTAAAATTTGTTGATTAATGTCAACTTTGACCAAAGAAAAATAAAAGAAAATTTAAATGCTGAAAATATATTAATCAGAAATTAAACTAAAACAAGAAATTGCACTAAATTAAATTAAAAAATTTTCTCGTATGATTTCTATTTCCCTAGCATTCGCGCTGCGGAGCAAGCCTGGAATCACAGCTACTGCTCTTGCACCCATTTTCGGGTCATGCCATCGAAAAAATTGCACCTATCAACACTCTGTTTTTAACCATTTCTTATCATATTCCAATTGAAGTTCACGGAAAGTACTTACAGGATATAGAGGGCAACTCAAGAATCTTCTCCCGGGATTATCATCCTTCCAGCATGTAGTCAACTTTGCAACCAGCTCAACAAAAAATGTAGTCTTTTATTTAGATTGATCACCCAGATAAAATTTTCATGTCTAATGCTAGAATTGAACTTGCAATCCGTAATTGTTGTTGAGTTTAATTCGTAAGTATCAACGGCAAGCTGGTAACTGTCGGGGATAACACGACCTAATTAAGTGAATCACACGGTCGTGTTTACTACTTAGATTAGCCTATTTTTTCTAGATCCTAAGGCGACTATTGAATCTAGAGAGCATGTTATAGATTGTCCAATAAATCAGGTT